CTCTGCCTTCCATCCTTCCGAAGGTGGTAAAAAGAAGACCCAGATTGTTGGGGGCAATATGCTGACTCTCTGTAAACCGCTTAGAGAGGCCTGAAAGGCCTATGAAGCGGTATATAAGTCTACTGCTATCGATTCAACAATATAAGTTATGATGCATCTGTTGAATGTTCCTGGGATTTTGTTAGATTTACCATGTAGTCCAGACAAAGGATATGACCAGATGAGATTGTGCTACTTTATTGTAAGCTGTGTTAACAGAATCTTTCAAGTCTGAAGGTACAACTCTCCCACTGCCACTTTCCTTCTGAGCATCTTGTTCTGTCCACTATGCAGCTACAGGGTATGTTGTCTCTTGACCATTCCTTTAGCAGCAACTCTTTCCTTCATCTCCCAGGTTTTTTTCTACATACAAGTACATATTTTCAAATGTGTATTCAGATTTTGTTTCAGCCTTCCTGAACCTGGCATATTCCTGAAGTACTGGAACTGCAAGTTTCAGAATTCTAAGGCAACATGACTGATTTCTTGTATACAAAAATTGGTGATTGTTATTCTGTTGGCCTGTAAATTATGGTTCAGAATTATGCAGGTATGCTTTAGGCTTATGTTCTCCATCTTCTTTTCTCTGATGTGACTACAAGGAGAATATTTTTTTATATTAAATTAAGTATAGTATAGTATAGCATAGTAGCTCTCTCAGTCTTAATGTGATTAATTTTCATTAAGTCACTTTCAAACCATAGGTTTATTCGCCACTCTGCAAAATAGCATCCATAAACAAAATGCTACAAATGGGGAAGTATTAATTTTTAAACCAGGAATTGCTTATGTCAATACTTGGTTCAAACCTGTCAACAGTCTTATCTTAAGGGTCTCCAATCTTATGCCTTGCAGTTTTTGAATTAAAACTCGAACTAGTATGCATGGGTAGTGTTTAGGGACAAAGGAATTTTAACCTAAAACTTTTTCAGATAGCTCATTCTGAAAGATTGTTTTTTAAGTAACAAAGAATGCTGTAGTCTTGTATTGTGCTATAATATACCGTATTTTTCGGAGTGTAAGACGCACCAAGGTTTTGAAGAGGAAAATTTTATAAAAAAATTTGCACTCTGCAAACCTCCCAAAAAAGCTCTGTTTTTTGCGAAAATGGGCCTGTTTTTTTTTCAAAAAAAGAGGCATGAATAGCATTTAGGAGACTTGCAGAGTGCTCCTGGGGGTTGGAGGCCCCTAAAACAAGCAAAAAAATGCCCCATTTTTCCTGCACACTGCTTAGAGAGTCCAAGCTGTGGGTTATTTCAGTCTGGTTGCCCTGAAACTGAGGAAAGACTTTTCCTTGGCCACGCCTCCAGNAGTTAATCTGTTTTCATAGTCATTGTAAGCATGCGTTGTAAGCATGGAAGAAAATTCACAATCCCCATCCAAACAGCACCAAATTGCAAAAAGCTCATGCTTTTCACTTAAAAACCACCAGCATTTATTTAAATATAATATTTGCATAGTAGTTAGCATAAAATATCATAAAATCAATGGCCTATCCAAAAAATGTCATAAACTGTAAAGCATGCAGGACTTTTTCATAGCTGTATGTGTATGTTATGAATTGCATGTGTTGGAAATGTGTCTTGTCATTTTCCACTGTATATTGTACACCAAAGAAATAAAAACTGAAACTCCTAGTAAGCACATTGCACTTTTCCCACATTAGCTATGAAATAGTGCCAGCCATTTTGTAAGGTTTTGCTGGTTGTCCCTTTCAGTTCCAATATATACAGCTGCAGAAAAACATTGGCACAGTGTAAAGCAATTCTTAAAGTGAGGGGTAATTATGCCCAAGAAGACAATTGGGGCATATTCAAGTGTATATATGTAATGAAGCATTTAGTAATAGCTTGTTTATGAATTGAAGACTCACCATTTATGAGTTTGGGACTGCTGCTGCTGCTGAGATGTAAAACATGAGAATTGGAGGTTTTTTTGTGAGCCTAATGATATTGAGACTGGGAAAAAGGATAATGGGGTTAAACAGTTAAAGAACCATGGTTGTTAAGCACTGGAGTTGGCACATTGCTGGAGATCTTGGAGGAAGCAAACTGTGTTCCACATACCTTGCTTGTTGTGTTGCCATTTAGTTTCCTGACAAAATTATAATATATATTTATAAAATAGTTTGATGTGGCTATCCATTTCAACTTTCAACTTGCATTTTAATACAAGTAAAAATTTAAATCCAACGTCTAGTTTCATATGTTTTAACAATTAGATGCATTATACAAATGTTAAATAAATCTATTTAACTACTTAACAAAGGAATCTCGAAAAACTGTGTCCTTTTGCTTCAACATTATTAGCTTAACATAATTATTATGCAATCTAAAAGTTAAGATTCAATATGAGTCATATATTTTATTTGAGGTCAGTATAGCACTTCTTATCATTCTTTCCAATATTGAACATCTTACATGCATTATTGTTTTTTCTTCCATTTGATTGTGTTTGGTTCCTAGACACTGCACGAAGGCGGCAGTTTCTTCTGTCTTCTCAATATTAACAAGGAGAGAGCTATCCTAACTGTATTCCAGAAACTGAGGCAGGGTTGGATATAGACAGTAAGTCTGTAAGCAACAAGAAATTTGGCTACTGAATCTTTGGTAACTATCCTTTTTTTTTGGGAGGGGGGGATATTATTCAACACATATATGCTATGTTTAGCATATTTCCTAACATAAACTTGATGCCCCAAATCAATTTAAACAATTGTTTATATTTAGATATTGGATACCTCTGAATTATTATATAAATAAATACTAGTCTAAAAATATTTCTGTATATAAGCATGCTAATGCCTGTGGAAATAATTAAATTAGAAAGACTATTACGCAAGTCAGGAATGAATTTCCCAATCAAAACAAAAAGAATGTTCTAAAAATGTATAATTTTGAGTATATTTGACAGAAAGTGAGCGTAAAACAATTATAACAATTCATGAAGAAAAAAATAACCAAATTCTGTAGTTGGGGTAAATATTTTTATTGCAACCAAAATGCCATAAAAGGATATGCAAATGCTTGAATTCTCCAGAACTGTTTTTCAGATAAGATGTTACAAAAAATAGGAAAGAGAAGCAAGAAAATTCAAAAATTAAGCTGGATGTTTTAGCTGAGATCTATACTTCATATGAAATTATAGATTAAATGGCAAGTGATAATGGTGCCATGTTGCATCTAATATTCAGAGATAAAAAAAAGATTTTTCTAGCCCTTTCCCAAGCACAGTTGTAAAAAAAATTCCAATCAAATCCTGGCAAGGGCTATGAAGGAACAGCAATAAAGAAATATTACAGTGATTATAACCACCAACTTAAAACAGTGGTTTCTGTTTGGTTTGTTCACTGATTTAACAGATTTATACTTCATTCCCAAACCAATTTCTTTTTATGCTTCCTTTTAAACTAATATAATTAAGTTCCAAAGGGCCAATAATGTTAATGCAGCTAAAAGAAGGTTATGCTGCAAAATCATGTCATTCTTATCTATGTTTATTAAGAATTAAGCATAATATACTCAAAAGTGTTTATTCCAAATTTGTATGTATGCAAATTTCATTATACCAATACAGAAATCTGGATATCTGGCAGTTTCAAAAGTTAAGTCTTAAAACACTTTCATTACCAAAAATATTGTCAATATATGAGACATTTTACTAAATGAATCTCTACAACTATATATTGGTGTAGTGTTCTACAATATATCAGGAAAGGATAACTTAAAAAAAAGAGAAAACCTTGCCCTCCAAGGGTTGCAGAAATAGACAAACATCATTCCTGGAAAGGGCAGAACCAAAATATTAAGCCCAGAGAAATTTTAGGAGGAAAATGCTGAAAACAGTGTGGTAGTGTAACCCTAACAGAGAAATAATGTGCCTATTTTCAGGCTTATATGCTTTAAGAAAAAGATTTTTTTAAAAAATAAAATAAAATTAGAGATACAGGTAGGTTCCTGGGCCAGGAAAAGTTGGTATAATACATGATCAACACTGCTACAATGCAATCTGCAGACATTTGCAGTAGCAACTAAACATACAAAAAAAACTTGGCAAAGATTGGTAATTTCACCAAATATCCAATACTCCCACAAGCAATTTTCTTAAATAATTAAGAGGAAAAGCAACTCATATGCTTATAAGAATTCACTGATGATAAATACAAGAACTGGCACTTCTGTCAGTTACAAATGTAAAAATCATGCATCATCTTTAGAAAGTAATTTAATATTTGGTGTTCCAATTTATCATACCATGGAGTATTCAAAACATGTCTTAAGTCCTTCCATATTTCTATTAAAATGAAGATATTAACGGAATTATCTCAAATCCCAGAGGGATTGATAGTAAAGGCAGATGACAAATATTGTGACATTTGCAAAAATAATGAACATTCTTGCTACAGTTGTTATATAATCTTGATATATATTTGCTTTTTGCAAAGTAGTTAACTAGACACTATAATTTTTAACTAATTCAATATTCATTGACTTAAAACAAAGTCTAAATATGACAAATTATGGATATAACCCTGTAGCCAGAAAGCATATTTAAAACAATAACTATGCAAATAATATAATGTATTTTGTCACTGTCCTAAACATTGGTTCATCAGGTGAGATTCAAAATAGCCTTCAAGCGTAAGAGTTTGCTTGCACAGTTCTCTTTTTATTACTAGTAACAGCCTGTATTGTTTTCAAACACATCTGGAATTTCCCTGAGTTCTGGAAAAAGTATTTCTAATAGAAAATTATAGAAGGATCAATATGTCATGAGAATGCATGCTAAATTACTTTTGATCTCCTTTTTCTTAAAAAACAACAACAAATAAACCCACTGACCATGCAGAATTATCAGCTTTCAGATTTTAAAGGCAATATGTAATACTGAAATGCTATTTAGTTATTATGTCAAATGTTTTAATTCCTCAACTTAGCTAGATTCTTTAGCTTGTTGTTGTAGTTTGACCGACATTATTACTATGAAAATTAGAAAATTAAAAATATTTGTACACAAAAGCAACTGACATTATAAAAATTAATATCATTGAAATTAAGAGTCTACGTGTAAAACAAAAATGCCAAGCTAGAAAATCAGGATTATCCCTTTAACATAAAGGGGTTCTGGAGAAGAAGATATAAACAAACTGTGTTGATAAGTAATCCAATCTTACTTTAAATTTCTTCATGGTAGAAGTTGATTGTGCAAATAATAATCTGTGTTGTAGACATCAGCATTTACAATGTAACTCTTCCTGTAATGCTAGACATATCTTTACAACTACCTTTCATACTAATTTATGGGGATCCAAAAAGCAAAATGTAGTCATAATGTCACAAGCATAAGACACTTGACATTTTAATACAAAAGAATTCTTCGTTCAATAGCCTTTCGACAGATAGGACATTCACTCATTCGATCCCCACAAAGCTGACAGGTTCCATGACCGCAGAGAAAGATCATATTCTTCAGGCGGTCCAAGCATACAGGGCACATGGTCTGTAAAGAGAAATGAAGAAATAAACGTTTCCTTGGGAGTACAATAATCAACTATAGTACTTAATCTTGTATACATATACTTCCAGAAAACTCAAACTGCAGAAACAAACGGCAAATATAAGGAGAGTTAACATCATTCTACCTAGATGTTAACTACCTAGAAGTAGTTTAGCTTATATTAAATACACTATTTTAATACATTATTATACAGAACTTAAGACAACTATCAAATAAGAAATCACCTAATGAAGGACTCACATTATACCATGGCGGTTACAACTGCTGAAGGTGACTATTCCCTAAAGCAGAAATGGGCAGAGGGAATGAGGGATAAATATATTTATTATCATGATGGATACTTCCCCAAGCAGTAGCATCGCAGTAGAACTTCCTCACTCCCCTAGTTCAAAAGAAATAGAGTTGAATTTAACACTGCTGTCTATTAAGGCTTCAAAGGAAAGCCTCACAAGCACTGTCTATTTTTAAAATTATATTTCAGATTGGTTTATTTCAAGAAAGTGAATGTCTTCATGTCTGACAATAAGGTACAATGAAAGGAAAAAATACTCTCCAAAAAATTTTTTTTAATAAATCTCAGGCAAAGATATACAGTATTTCCTGATTTTATACTTTATAAAGTAGGTATCTGCAAAGATGTTTGTCCATGTAAAATACCATTTAAGATTTAATGGAAATAATGCCTCAAAATCTTTAATCTTGCACACCAATTGTACTTACACATGCAAGTTCTACTTTTTACATTTATATCACACTATGCTTTTCTGAGATATAAAGAAATATATTTCTGTATATTTTATTTTTTAAAAAGTCAGGAAAATATCTATTATTAAAATATTTATTTATTTAGCCCTTGAGTTAGTGTTGACACCTGGTGACTACCTGGACAAATCCCTGATGTTTATGGAATCTAGTAAACTTGAAGAATATTTTGCCCTCAATATGTGTATCATTTGAATTTTTCATTATGTAGCACTTACCCTGAAAATATTCACATAATTGTTTTCTAACAAAGTATATTATTGTCATATTTGATTTAATTTACCTGTTCCTTTATGTCTTGCAACTGCTGCTGTAATTTCTGCACGTCAGCATTGACATTAGTATTATCCTTATCCTTCTGCATAACAGGAATGTTTCCACTTGCTAAATAATGCACAGAGGAGGAAATAATGACAGACAATGCTTGAAGAATCATCATTATCATCTTCATCCAAAGTTACTTCAAATGTTCATCTAGCCTGGTTGATATATTTTCATTTGTGGATTTTAACAGCTTTTTTTACAGCTGATATTAAAAGAACCAACAAATATATATCAGTGGTGAAATTCATTTTTTTAAACTACTGGTTCCGTGGGTGTGGCTTGGTGGGCGTGGCAGGGGAAGGGTACCGCAAAATCCCCATTCCCTCCTCACTCCTGGGGAAAGGATACTGCAAAATCCCCACTCCCTCCCCACTCTGGAGCCAGCCAGAGATGGTATTTGCCGGTTCTCTGAACTACTCAAAATTTCCGCTACCGGTTCTCCAGAAACTGCCAGAACCTGCTGAATTTCACCCCTGATATGTATCCATCCTATCTACATACTAATCTTCTGAATTCTGAAATTTATTATCAGAATTCAGCTTCGGTGTGTGAATTTAAACAGATCACTACAAAAAGCCAATATTTGTAATTGAGTAGTTAAAGCTTTAAGTAGATAAATTTTTAGTTTATGTATTTGTTAGGCTTTCCTCCTTTTTCCTATTGCAACCACCTGTGTGATACAGTTTGCTGACAAAGAATCATTTGTCCAAAAATCACCCAGTGAGCTTCTATAAAGATAGATTTGAACTTGACTCTCCCCAATGCCAGACCAGCATCTTAATTATTACACCATATTGACAATGTCTTCTAATCACTATCACTTCTTTGGAAATGATAAACAGTTCATGCATTTTTCTTATGAGAAAAGGCTGAAGGGTGTGAAGCTCTATTTCCAAAGTGCTGGAGAAAAAATGTAAACTGAAATGGCTTCGTGCATTGCTTTTCAGTTTCTCAAACTTATTAGGATATAGATTCAACACCCTTTTGATTTGATTCATAGGTTTCTTAGTTAAGAATTAAAAATAAAATTCCAAAGACTGCTAGCTAAAACACTACAATGGTTGCGGCTGTCATGTATACATTCTATTACTATTATTACTACTATGAAGAAGAAGAAGAGAAGAAGAACAAGAAGAAGAAGAAGAGAAGAAGAACAAGAAGAAGAAGAGGAGGAGGAGGAGGAGGAGGAGGAGGAGCAGCAGCAGCAGCAGCAGAGCAACAACAACAACAACAACTCACTAATGTCATCTATGGTTTCTTCGGTACCTTTCCCACCACAGCACATAATAAAAGGAACTCTTCGTTCTACCACTGCCCGACATTGCACACATTTTTTCATAAGGCTGGCACAATCTGCAAAGAAAAAAAATTAAAACTAGTATGCCTTAACCAAACTTAAATTCAATTTTAATAGATAGTAAAGGTTTTTGCCAAATATAGCAAACTCAAAGATCAGCGTTTATATACCCTATTTTTCGGAGTATAAGACACACCAACGCACCTTAATTTTGGGGGAGTAAAACAAGAAAAAAAGTTTCTGCCTCTGTCTACCAGCATCCATCAATATTAATCAGGCTAGCATCCTTGCAGCAAACAGCAGGTGGAATACCCCCACTCAGCTGTTCCAGGCTGCAGGGATTGCCACACACCATAGCCACCTCTGTGCCTCGCATTTTCGGGTGGTTCCAGGCTGCAGGGATCCTCACTTCCACTTGGATTTTGATAACAAGCTTTTTATCCATTTAAAACAAACCCTATCACCCTATGTTATTTAACTGGATGGGGTGGGGTATGATTTTCATGGGGGCAGAAGAGGGACTTGGCACCGAAGGCTCCACTCCCGAAACACCCCGTCTTCCTACCTATAATTGTAGGCATAGAAAGCCTGACTTTCTTGCAGCAAGTCCAATAGAGATGCAGCACTTTAGTCCTTCTGGACACTGCCATCTCATAAACATGTTACCGGGCTTCCCAGCAAGCCCCCTACACCTTGGGCGGGGGTGGGGGAGAGCATGGAATGGGGATCCATCCCCCCCAATCCTGATCAAGCAGTCCTTGCAGGCCAGCTGTCAGGGGAGCAATCCATGTGATTCTCCTACCAGGAAACTTTGTAATGGTGTGTGTGTGTGTGTGTGTGTGTGTGTGTGTGTGTGTGTGTGTGTGTGTGAAACCCCTCTGGCTGCGAAGGTTTTTGTTATCGGGAAGGAAAGTCTTTTCAGGTGGCAGCAGCACTATTCCCTCCCCAATTGCAAAAACGGCCTGTGTGGACACCGGCAGATCTGAAATGAAGGCGTTTCAGGCCATAGATCTGGCCAGGAGGAAAGAGAAAGTGAGTCTGCAGTGCCTGCATTTGGGGAGGGAATAGTGGTCGTGCCACCCGAAAAAGCTTTCCTTCCCGATACCAAAAACCTGGCGTGAGGAAGGCTGCTTTGGTTCCTGTCACCAAGTATAGGCTTCACAGCCGGGTTTCTTTCCCCCCTCCCACTCTTCTCATTATACAAAGTTTCCTGGTAGGAGAACCACACGGATTGCTCCCCTGACAGCTGGCTTGCAAGGACTGCTTGATCAGGATTAGGGGGGATGAATCTCCATTCCACGCTCTTCCCCCCCCCCCTCCCGAGCTCCCCTCTGGACTCTTCCCCACCATGCACGGACAAAGGCAAAGCAGCCAGAAGCAGAGGAAAGAGGGGAGCCTCGCAGTGGCAGCTTCCCCATCCAGATGGAGCACAATCAGAAGCGAAAGCAGTTCACCTTCCGCTCAAACGGCTGTCATGATAATAAAGCTGTCTTATTGTATGAATATGTAGGGAAGAGGTTGGTGGAAGGCAGCAGATCTGAAAGGAAGGCGTTCAAGGAGGTGGAGATCATGGCAACTGTCTTACGCCTCCTGTACAGTGCCTGCTTCGCCAACTGAATCCTGACCCTCATACTTCTCAGGGCCGCTTCAGGAAGCAGCAAAGGTGTAGGGGGCTTTCTGGGAAGCCCGCAACGTGTTTATGAGATGGCAGCATCCAGAAGGACTACAGTGCTGCGTCTCTATCGGACTTGCTGCAAGAAAGCCAGGCTTTCAATGCCTACAATTATAGGTAGGAAGATGGGGTGTTTCAGGAGTGGAGCCTTCGGTGCCAAGTTCCTCTTCTGCCCCCATGAAAATCATACCCCACCCCACCTCTCTAGTTAAATAGCATAGGGTGATAGGGTTTGTTTTAAATGGATTTTAGACCTGTGCTGCTCATTATCAAAATCCAAGTGGAAGTGAGGATCCCCGCAGCCTGGAACCACCAGAAAATGTGACGCGCAGATCAGGAGATTGAGGCTACATTCAGAGTATAAGACGCACCCAGATTTTCACCCTCTTTTTTGGGGTAAAAACGTCTGTCTTATACTCCGAAAAATACGGTAATAACCACCTAATGTCAAGTCAATTTAAATAACTTGCTGGATTCCTCTTAAGAAACAACTGTTTACTTACTTTCACAAGCACACATGTGTCCACAAGGCTGAAAGAGTACTGCAGCTTTTTTATCTGAGCATACAACACATTCTTCAATCTGTAAAAACAAAATAAAGTAACTTTATAGCATTTAGTTGTTCAATTAAATGCTTGTTAAGTGGTAGGAAGACCTATTAAAGATAACATCTAGCATGCAGAAAGACAAATTTTCCTGATGAGTCAATATTGTTTCTGCAAAACTAACTTTGCAGAAGTTTGAAAAATGATAGAGAGGATGATCATTTACGCACTGTGTGTTTCCATACTTTAAATAGTGCCTCACTGAAGTTTCCTGAATAAACAGTAAAAGCAGCATGAGTGATGGATTGATAACTAGTTCAAGAGAATGAATCAAGTGACAATGTTCAAAGCTAAGTAAGTTCCCCAAATTCCACATAAGGCCCATTACTTTTTAACTTGCTCATTCTTATTTAGAATTAGGAAAAAACCAGTAAGGAAGGAAAATTTGCAAATTACTGAGGAAAGAAAAACAGCTCCTATTTTTTAAACCCAATCTAAGTGAGCTAACATCACACTTAAAAATATGATTTAATGTACATATATGCATATACATCCCTGTATATGCTACTGTTTACAGGTAGTTCTGGACTTAAACCATTTGTTTAGTGACTATTCAAAGTTACAACAGCACTGAGAAAAGTGACTTATAACTGATGCTTGTATTTATGGCCATAGCAGCATTCTCTTAGTCACATGAGCAAAATTTGGTCACTTGGCAAGCAGACAGGGAAGGCATATTGCAGATCCTGTCAGTTAAAGAATCCCAACTTCTCTACCATTGCTCCTGCCCTGTGGAATATTTTCCTTTTGGAGGTCAGTTCTGGCTTTCCAAAAAAGGAGTCAGGGCTCCTCTGAGGGGCTGACTGGTGCCCTGAGAGCCCTCCTTCGCCTTTTAATTTATTTTAACAAAGTTTAATCCTCCTTGTCTCCTTTTCAAGTTAGAGAAGTTTTACCTAACTTTAATGATTTTATATGAAAAATCAGAAAATCTGTGAAGATACGTTTATCAAACAATTACAATTATCCCAACATGAACCTTCTATATGTAGAAGCAAAAACAAGGAATTATTATTGCTTTTACTTAAAAGAATCTGGTTGTCATTTTCAGAAATGGAATGCTGAACCAGATGTTCTGGTTTCACTAAATCAGGACTGTACATGCTAGATTTAATAGAATACATCATTAAATAAGACTATGGGGAGAACTACTGTTGTAAAGATAATTAATTCCTTCTGACAAGAGTTTAAACTATAAACAATTGGAATATCTGTTCTTTGTTTAAGCATTTGCTATATGTTTCATTTTAAAGGTAAATGATGAAATAAAGCACACACCTTTGTTCTTGATTGAACATGGTCTTTGCAAATGAGGCATTTCTTGACTCTTGGTGAACACAAGGAACAAGTAGCAATGTGCCCACATGGCCCAAATAGAGTATCTCTCTTCATGTCAGAACATACCATACATTCTTCTAAGGTTTCGGAATCATTGCTGATCATAGAAGGACTCCGGGAACCAACCTGCCCACTAAACACAAGCCTACATTCAGATATTTATGTGCACACTGAATATAATGTCCAAAATTAGGAGTATTATTAACATTTGTAATTATAAATTTAGGAAAATAACAATATGATACTTTCTGACAATCTTACAGAAAGCATTTTAGAAAATGATGGCCGAGTTTGCAAATTTATCTGCTGACTTGGAAGCACATCTTGGTGAGGTCAGTAAGATTTTATCTCTCAGTTGTAAACTGAGTTGCAGTTACCACCTGGCTCAGTTAAAACAACCAAATCACTCTGAAGATACAACAGTAAATACTTACATAAAACTACATAAAACTACATGAAACTGATTGTACAACATCCTTCACTTGACGGAGAAATAAATCCTTGTTTGTGTTTTTCTGTTACATATTTAATTGTAACAGAGATAATGTGCTAAGGCATAAAAAACCAGATTCAAACTAATCAGAGTTTACTATGCTGTATGAATGAAGCCGTTAGTTCTTTAACCTAGTCAGCATAAAAAAAATATAAGTTTAAAGTATACTGAAAAAAATATGGTCTTTTTTTAAAAAAGTGGTTGATTAAATAAAGACTGATTGGTTAGAATGCAGTACTGCAGGTTACTTCTGCTGCCTGCCAGCTGTCTCATTTTGGCAGTTCGAATCTCATCAAGCTCAAGGTTGACTCAGCCTTCCATCCTTCCGAGGTTGATAAAATAGGGACCCAGATTATAGGAGGCAATATGCTGACTCTGTAAACCACTTAGAGAGGGCTGTAAAGCACTGTGAAGTGGTATATAAGTCTAAGTGCTATTGCTATAAATATAGCAGAATTGGCCAGGGGAAATGTTTCCCATTTAATTTATACATCAATCATTCTAGTACAACAAGCTGTCTACTGACTAGAATGACAACAATTTAAATAATTAAAATACCCGTGAAGCAACTATGATTAAATTTAACCCAGGTTAAAGTAAAGCACTATCTAACTAATCTGTACAAAATAGACTATGTAGTGAAATGTAAGTACTGTAGAGTAGTTTCTTGTAATACAAACCTGATTTTTTCTTTGTGGCATTTAGCCAATGCTTTACAGAGGCTAGGATCAGGACATAAGTCAAGCGGTGACTGGCCCTTCTTGTTACGAATACCAAGGTCAGCTCCATTGGCTGCCAGGAAACAAGCAATAGATGCTGCACTTTTCTTCTCTGCTCCCTGAGTCCCCAATCCCATTATCAACTGGAAGAAAGTAAACAAGCAACTTCTTTGAATTTGTATTCATGGGCATAAAATATCAAAAATAAAAAAAAATCTGGTACCTGTGTGCAGATATAATTACTATTAATAAATTTTAGTAAATGCAGTTCTAGAATGCAATGTTGTACAAAATTAAGATATCTTTAGTCTGGATTTCTTTAATCTCCCTTTAGGTCTCTAGGTATTTTTGGAAAAGTGTGACTGACATGCTGTCACCCTCACAACGGGCTTATCATGTGGAACAAATCTTCTGCCCCCTACACATTTTTGTAAACAGATGAGTCAATTTCCCCAAATCATTTTTAAGTAATTTCTTCCAAAATTACGTCTTTCAACATTTGTTACCTTCCAATAGGATCCCAAACATTACAAAATGTATATTTACAATGAAGGATGACTGCAAAATAGTTCTCCAATTTTTCCCCATCAAACACACACCTTTTGACTCTTTGGGTTGCATATACATATCGTATTTCCCCACTTTCTTCTATTGCTTTCCCCACTTTTTTCCTTTTCTCCTGTGCCTGATTTCCTCCCCTGCCTTTTCCTTCTACTTTTCCCATTGTCTATCCTCAGCCAACCACAAGCCCCCACCATCTTTTTTCTTCCACTTTACTTTTGGCTGGCTGGCTGGCTCAAAAAAGAACTGTGACCTCTGGGTCTGAGCAACGCTCTCCATGTAAGCCCTAATACAATTTGGCAAAGAAAAGAGAAAAAACCATGCCTATTAAGACTGAAAATCTGAAATTTCAAAACAAAGGTTGTTAAACACTAGAGAAAGGGAAGGGCGGAAGAGAAGGAGGAAATGCTGACCTAATTTATGCTGAAAAATCTTAAATCCTATATTAACCTTTTATGCATTTTTATCCTGTCAACCCCTTTGTCTGAAAGGGTCCTTTGTCAGAGTTTTCCTGATAGTTGAGACCACAAAACCAAATTTATGGATGCTAATACTACTTTTATTATCAGATTACACAAAAACCTTGCAAGTCTGAATGAGTCTCTTCCCTCTCTGCCTTTATATTCAAGAAAACTAGGGAGGGTCAGGTCTGAGGTGATTTCTCAAATTACATTCCTGCTTTGGACTCAGATTTCTCTTATCAGACCATTGTCTTGGTTACAAGCTGTTCTTCCTGATTCTCAAAGTTATTTTCACTATTACAATTCTGACATTGTTCATATTTTAAAACTCAGCAATTAACCCTCCTGCTAGCACTGTTATAATATTAATGCAACATTTCTCTGCAATCCTTTTTAATAACTCTACTTTAAACTAGTTATTGAATATAAAGTTATTGAATATAGAAACAATACATTTGACTCCAATACATAAAGGAGACATATACATTCTTTGATAATGTGACAAAATTAGTGGAGCAGAGGAATGCCGTCGATATAGTTTACTTGGACTTCAGTAAGGCATTTGATAAGGTAGACCATAACCTACTACTAGATAAAGTAGAAGAATGTGGGTTAGACAGCATCACCACCAGATGGATTCGTAACTGGCTGACCAACTGCACTCAACAAGTAGTCCTCAATGGAGCTGCAGCTACATGGAGAAAAGTATGCAGTAGAGTACCCCAAGTCTCTGTTTTAGGCCCAGTACTCTTCAACATCTTCATCAATGATTTGGATGAGAGAATAAATGGGGAACTCATTAAATTTACAGATGACACCAAGCTGGCAGGAATAGCCAACACTCCAGAAGACAGGCTAAAGATACAGAAGGATCTTGACAAACTTGAACATTGGGCACTATCTAATAAAATGAAATTCAATGGTGAAAAGAGTAAGGTTCTACATTTAGGCAAGAGAAATGAAATGCACAGGTACAATATAGGTGGTACCTTGCTCAGTAGTAGTAACTGTGAAATGTATCTTGGAGTTCTAGTGGACAACCGTTTAAATATGAGCTAGCAGAATGCAGCAGCTGCCAAAAAAGCCAACACAGTTCTAGGCTGCATAAATAGAGGGATAGAATCAAGATCACGTGAAGTGTTAATACCACTTTATAATGCCTTGGTAAGGCCACACTTGGAATACTGCATTCAGTTCTGGTCGCCATGATATAGAAAAGATGTGGAGACTCTGGAAAGAGTGCAGAGAAGAGCAACAAAGATGATTAGGGGATTGGAGACTAAAACATATGTAGAACGGTTCAGGAACTGGGTATGTCTAGTTTAAGAGAAAGAAGGACTAGGGGAGACATGATAGCAGTGTTCCAATATCTCAGGGGTTGCCACAAAGAAGAGGGAGTCAAACTATTCTCCAAGGCACCAGAGGGTAGAACAAGAAGCAATGGGTAGAAACTAATCAAGGAGAGAAGCAACTTAAAACTGAGGAGAAATTTCCTGACAGTTAGAACAATTAAACAGTGGAACAGCTTGCCTCCAGAAGTTGTGAATGCCCCAACACTGCAAGTCTTTAAGAAGATGTTGGATAGCCATTTGTCTGAAACGGTATAGGGTTTCCTGCCTAGGCAGGGGGTTGGACTAGAAGACCTCCAAGGTCCCTTCCAACTCTGCTATTGTATTGTATTATTTAATATTAAATGTATATGCTGCTTGATCGGAGATACTTTTTGCAACAGAAATGTCATCACACATACTAAATACTTACAATTTACACATATGTACATATATGGACATACACACACACACCAAACTGCAAATGTTTTAGGTCACCTCTATTCAAATTATCTTCTTTAATTATATATATTATATTATATATTGATGTTTAAAGATTTCAAAAGTCAATTAAATGAAATTGAAACATTTAAAAACTTTTAATATAGCTTTTGCCATATTCACATCCAGGTTTATTGTGTTATCAAATAATATTTACTTACTGGCACAGAATCTTTAAATAACTCTTTTCAGAGAACAGAAAGCAGATCAAGGCAAAAGAGCCTTTACAGCCCACTGCAAAGACAAAATTTAACAGAGAAGAAATAAAAGTTTTCTTACTGTATTCTTGGAGGGCTCCCAAGCTGTATCTACCTTGCCCACATCTTGCATGTCTTGGAGCTGGCGAAGCTGCGACAAAGTATGATGTCGCAGGGCCTCATGCAGGGGAGTATCCCCATCTTTATCCTGAATATCCAATTTAGCGCCCGCACGAACTAGAAGCTGAAAGCAAATAAAAATTTCAAGATTTTGAATACCTTTTGCAATAAATAGAATTACATTTCTTAAAAACATCTTGAAAATTAAAAACAGCTGATAAGCTTAGCTATTAAACAAGGCTATTAAAACAGTTTCTTCTTAATTAGATTGTGCAGCTTATACTTTAAACTTTTCTTTTACTCTTATTTTCATTAATTGATATGCTCACTGAATATAAATTAACCATAAATATGGTTAAACAGTAAGTAGGTAACAATGGATATCCAAAAGGAAATTGCTCCAATTCTCTATTATTGTAAATACATGAAAAAATTACCAACATGACCAATGCAATTTTCCAAATATGTTGGTGTAATGATATTATATGCAAAAATATACAGAAACATAAACTCAAAGTATATGGCAAGCAGATTTTAATAATTACATTGAACCAACCTCTATTTTATAATCACTATCTTGCAATTAAAAGTTGCAGTGTATCTTTAATCAATAGTCCAACCACTACATTCCTCACCCTCTTTATTTTCCAGATCCTTCTAATAATTTGGTTCTTCCTCTATGTTCATTTTCCATCCTCTTCTCTCTTACCATGATTATCACTTTTCCCCACTCAATCTCTATAGTGTGGTTATTAGGTAATAGAATTTACTTATATATCTCATGTGCATGGAAGATTAAATCAGAAATAGAATAAGCAGTGTTTTATTTTTGATCAATATTAAATATATTGATAATATATTTAAAAATAATTTAAGCATGATATATAAGTGGAAAAGCAACTAGACTCATTTAAACAAACCACATTTCCTATTAACCTCTCTGGAAAGAAAATAAGAGCATGAAAATGGAGATAAATTCTCTTACTCCATAATCCTTTTAGAAATCCATTTAGAAATATACGGCACAACAATAGTAAAGTTGATAAGTACATTCTTATGGTACATTATTATTGCCTTACCCGCACTATTTGAGTGTGCTGTCTTTCAACAGCAAGGTGCAGTGCAGTTTGTTGATTTACATTCTGAATATCCAAGTTAGCTGTGCCCTGAAAGAGAAATCTCAAATGTTACTCATATTAATTGAACTGAACTATCAGGATAATTCACAAAAGAAAGTATATGATAGCATAATTAAAAATTCTAGACTATTATTTCTCCACTGTTAAAACCAACTAAAAAAATCTATACATACATTTTATGAAACTGAATTAATTTTCATATTATTTCTATTTTGTATTTATCAATATTTAGCATGAATCAATATTTGATATGGAAAGTTTATGAAATGTTTCATTTGTTGTTTTCAAAATTTAAAAAGAATTTGATCTACTGAAATAACTTAATATTTTTTATAGTACAGCCACTCTTTGTTTAGGGCTACCTCATTTAGTGGCCACTCAGAAATATGATGCTAAATCATTTTCTGACTAGTGCCTGCATTTACCACCAAATTTTAGAGTCTGACAACAAAAGCTTTCAGCGTGAAACTGATTAAGGTCTGGTCAGTTGGGGGCAGCAGTATGAGCTGGTGGGAAAGTTCTAATAAACTAATTAAGTTTATAGAGGCTTGTTCACTTGAGGTTAGTACTTTTTAGGGAATCACTACTCTGTGGAGGAAAGCAGCGTGAAAAGAAATACATTGTTTAAGGAAACTCTCTGCTCTGCGAGGGCACCAAAAAGCGGGTATTGGTGAACAAAATGAAAAGAAGGGGGGAAATGGGTCAGGCACAGGACCCATTATGAGACAACTTTATCTAAATGAGAAAGAAGCAACCAGTTATTTTTGCAGAAACCCTCTCTCTCTGAGTCACATGTTTGTCTAGTGACCATTAAACAAGGAGATGGTGTATAATCCAATTCACAAGGGGAGACTTGTTCTAGAGGGCAGGCACCTCTACAAGAAGGTGTACTTTTTAGAATATGTTTATTAAGAATTTGAAATACAATAATAAAAACTAATACAAACTAAACTTAGAGAAAGAGAAGAGAATAGGAAAAAAAGATAAATAGTGCAGAAAAAAGAAAAATAAAGAAGTTATTTCCAAGCTTTATCACAAGTATAAACAAATTTAACAACTCCTACAAAGTTAAATAGGTAATTCTTCACTCCATATTCCATCCTTTATCTACTGTAAGAAAATCCATAAAATATCAACTTTTCTATGTCAGATGTTTCTTGTCGGAACATTGCAAAAAGTTACTTATTTTAACCTTGATCAAATAAATCAACTTTATATTCCTTCCTTTTTCTTCTAACAGTCTAAATTTTTACATCAAGCAAATATTGTCATAAGTTTTCTCTTTAATTTATTCTATTATACAGATCTCTTCAAATTTTTAACAAGCCTCTTTTGTAGATCCAATAAGAAAATATTTTCCAGGTCATTGGTTTATAATCTGTAGTTCCCTTTTAATTTTTAAAACTTCAAACAGTTTCTTTTGTATATCTAGGTTCAATTTAATAATATTATTTTTAGCCAATTTTTCTAATTAATTAAGCTTCTTTATTTTATTTTTGTATCCTGGGATACTAAGACACCTAACCATCCAATTTATGATTATTATACCCCACACATTATGTCTCATATTTTGTTGAGATACCATTTATGAACATTGCTCAAGTATGATTTCCAATTAAGTATCAATTAAAGGGTCATGCCAACCAGATTACAATTAAGCATTTTGCTAATCAGACTGTCATGGGATACTCTTGTCCATAAACTGCTTAAATTAAGATGTATTATGCCTGTAGCTTTCACAAAATCTAAACTGCCTGACCAAAAATGTGACTAATTAAATTAGCAAGGACTTGGACATGATTGAATGGAAGGAAATAAACCCAAAACAGTTAATTTGGTAATCTAGGATGCAATTTATATGACTTAATTCATTCAAAATAAATGGGCATTCTATAGCTTTTTTAAAAAAATCAGGAAACAATTGAAACAAGTTTCAATTCTATCCATTCATCTGGCTTTTCATACATGCTGTTTTGTTGGAGAAGAGTGAGCACAGTGATGGCTCCATTTTCTTATTTTATCTTGGTTACTAGCTGCTATTTTGTCATTATCCCAAGGTTACAGTAGCTGGTATAGTGATCTTTTTTCCTTTATTTTATTTTGAACATAGTTGAACTATATTTATTCATATGTTCTTTTTGTTTAGATAAAGCCAGTGTAAACAATTTCATTGTTTCAAATTCAATTGAAATGTCAATTTCAAATTCATTCATTAGATTTTCTACTTGCTTTAACCTAGATGCTTTCTATAGTACAGTCAATTTCATTTAATTCTGAGCAAATATGGATCTTATAAGGTTCAGTGCTCTTTTCTTTGAATAAACTATATTTTTCAATTGTTTAACTAAGGGATTCATCTCACAAAAGTGGCTATATAAATTAGAAAAAAGAAATATATGCATCTCCAACATATCAATAAAATATCCAACTACAACATAAAATAGCTGATTATATTAAAGCTTAGTTTTTGGAAATCTGTGTTATCCCACTTTGCTATCACTAAGAGAATCAGTGGTGACATATAAATGTCTTAATAATTAGTAAAAAAACCCTATTTTTATTCGGACGTAGAAAATGGATTGTAAGCAATGTATGCATCTATTTGTAACAAATAAAACATTCTTTCTTTCTGGTATAAACTTAATTAATAGGAAATTTTACCTGATGAACCAAAAGTTCTGCTACTTCTACATGATTATTAAGTGCTGCCAAATGCAAAGCAGTGTATCCATCATCTTTTTTTTCATCTACAATCCATGGTCTTGGAAGCTTAGACAGTAACACTCGCATTGCACTGAAACAGACCAAAATGAAAATGATTATATCAGTATTAACTTCTAGAAGGAATACAATTTTCCATTTAAGTGTAACATCCCAAAACGCAGTGATTATATTGCCAGGAGTTTTTATTATTACTGAAAAACTGATTTTATATGAAATACTATCCATTCTATTAAACCTTAACATTCTTTCTCAATTAGATAATGTAATGAAATCCATATTAGCTATTCTAGTAATCCATGTCCAGATCTTCTGAGTTTTATTCATATTATCTTATGTATCACCATAAAAATATTAGTTTAATACACTTTCAGTACTAATAGCTATTTTACAATCATTAATAGGGTAATGATTTAATTCTCCTGAACTCAATAAGGCTTACTTCTGAGAAAATGTATGTATAATTTCATTAAAAAAATGCATTTTTCAACTATCCTACTCAGTTTGCCACATGCAATATATATACAGACATTTATAACTGCCTAGTTACCATGAATGGGCAGCCTAGAAATCAGAGAAATAAATATATAAAATCTAGTAAATGGTATGCTTTGAAAATGGGAAGGAAGTCTCTATTTTCAACACTATCCTGTATCTCACGTTTATTCTCCCCCTCACTTGCCTCAAATATCATTACTTCATTTTTGAGAATTATGTTCCTGCAGTTCATACACCACCTGCTGTGCTTCAATCTACCATGCTGACATTACATACTTTCTTTCTCCAATTATATATGAATTGAATTTTGTATCAGACTTCATAGTGGCAATATGAGGTGTTGCAATACTTCTGTGTAGCTGGGGGTGGTGGTCTGTATAACAAGTATGTATGTGTGGGTACTTTTGTACATCTTGGGGAATGTGAATCTTTCAGTCTTCCCTTCTTAAAAACTTAATTTACCCTTCAAAACTATTCTTTTTAAAAGGCAACTTCAAATGCTCTTAAGTCTTCCTTTCTTTGCCAGATGTTTTTTTTCCCACAATGATCATAATATAAAAGCTAGAAAAACTGAGGACCAGAAAACCTTGGTGCAGTTTACCATTTAAATATATTTATATTTATATCCTATTTCAAAAACATTTTTCAAGGTAATCTATTTGTGGATAATTAAAATCCACAAATAGATTCATCAGAAAGATTTTTGAGCGCTTTCAAATAGTCTTAAAAAAAAAAGTTAATGGAACAATAAACACAATGGGGAGGGGAGAATCATATACCTATCACCCAACGTATCCATTCCATATATGGAGTGCCATAAAACAAACATGGAACAAATATGGGCATCGCTACATAGATTTATCAAGGTACGGTAGGTTTATTGGGGGGGGGGATGCAAATATAGAGATACATCTATCGTACATATAAACTATTCTTTCTGGGTGGTTATTTAAAGATACTTGACAGAGGAGTCCAATTACTTACACTATCTCATGAGTGATGGACTACTAACCTCTGTATCTTATCAATCATCAGCTGTCCACAAAATGAGCAATCAGAGAAAAGTTATACACTTGTAGAATATTTTACAGATCTAATTGTTATTGTTATTGACATTTTGTCAAGACAGAACACAAACCACATTTAATGTACAAATGAAATTACAAAAATTTTAAAAATGTTTTTTTAAAGACGAGCACATTGTTATTATATAGACACATATTCCTAAAATATGCTGTAGTTTTCTAAAATAAACTACAAGTTATAAGTTAAAACTTCAATTATCAATTTACAGTTAAAACTAAGAACATAGTTTCTGCCATCCTGATTATTACAAAGGTTTGATTCTTTACTCCACAGTGTATTTAATTATTTTTTCACAAAACAAAGTTTTCTGAAGTTTTTGAAATGTTACTTCATTCTGAATTTCCTCTTGCTTTTATTTCTAGAAGAATAAACACAGTGACTATCCGAATTTGAACCTCAATGAAACAATAATAATTAGAAAAACTTAAATTGCAATTTAATTTGATATCACAGATATACTTAGGAAATGAGTAGTAAAACTTAAGGTTGAGACATCAATAGGCAGAGTAAAAGACAGAGGCACCCTGTCTGTTCCTGGAACAGCAACCAACAGTTGAGATACTATTTTTTGCAATGGTTGACTAAATATGGTCAGGGAAGAGAGAGGCAAAAGACAGCCTGGGAGTGGATGTTTCAAATGCCTGGCTGCATATAAAGCTGAAATAGTTTTGCTAGTGCCCTGAGTAGCAAATGGATTCATGCTAAACAGCATGCATGTGGAAGTCCTGACCTCAAGAGCAGTGTTTGACCTCTAAAAATGAAAAATAACTACAAGCAACCTGTCTGGGAACTAAAATTCAAGCATGAAGAAATCAAGTCCTCTATCTATGAAGAAAGAAACAATACTTGCTTGAGAAAGGGGGATGGATGAAGGTGTATGCTGTTTTTTTTTTTTTTTTTTTTTTACAATCTCATGAACATTTTTGAATTATTTTCAATTATCTAAACAAGATGAGATTATCCTTCTTTGGGTTTTTCTAGCATCTACAGAGGATATTTCTGTTTTCTGTCCAGCAGGTTCAAGAAACTTAGTTCTATGCACAACACCTAAATGGTTAGGAAAACACAATATATACCTTGTAAGATACGTGCTCATATTTTAATTATACTTGCTTTATAGTGAAATATGTATTCATTTTCACCTCTCTATTGCTTCCCCCCTCCCACATAATGAAGAGCTGAATCAGCGATAGAGTGAACATTCAAGATGAGATGGCTGCTGCTGATGTCTCTCTCTAGGTCATCCAACTGCAAATGCTGCATGATAAGCTTACAGGTAATAGAGCATTAGAAGACCTGAATTATTCCACAGATTTAAAGGATTCATATCTGCATGTATTTTTTAAATAATTTGTGTATTTTATATATTAATCTCAATTGCAGCTTAACATACTACTAGTGTGCTTAAAGATCAAAAATTTCTAGTGTAAAGTGTTAATATGGAAAGTAATCAGCTTTGAGTAATATTATAGCTTAATACTGTTGCAGAAAAAAATCTTGTCAATTGTATTTTAAGTATTATATCTACTAATAAGCTAGCATTTCAAAAAATATTAATTTTGCAGAAATGCATTACCCCATTGCTACTTTTACATTATATTCTGGATCCATTCCATTGTATATAAAAGGGCAGGATAAGCCATGATTTAGTAATAAAGTACTTTTACTAAGAGATTAAAAATATTATTTTAGAGCATGAGTGATATAATTTAAATTTGAAACAAGCAAGTTGTAATTGTTCTGCTGCATTGCTGTTTCTTCTTGTAGAATTGTGCTAGCTCCTGCTAGTCTCTGATTTGCTCTCTATCAGCTGCACTAGGTTTTTCTCTTGAGCTGCAGAAACTGAACAACTGGTTTTCTTTAACATCATCAACTGGAGCTTTTTTTCCTAATTTTTGAAAATGTGTAAGTACTGGATGAATGTTCTTGTTCTGATTATAAACCTACTTTACAAAAGGATTTATGTATCATTTAAAATGAATTCTCTACATATTTTTTTTAAATCCAATTTTTTTTGTAACCTGATATTGGGGTTTTTTCCTGTCATGATTAATATGAACCCAGAGATAAACTACAGTATCAGTCAACTAAACCTATGAAGATATATGAGCTACTAAACTTATAACAATTGTGACATGAAAAAAATACATTTTAATATGAACTTTTCTAATTTAAAAATGTTCTGCAAAAACTAGTTCACATTGGTTTGAATTAAAAGTAAAGGCCAAATCTTCACATTTACAACTTATTTTCTTTCTTGGAATATAGTCAGCTATTTATTCGTCTATATTCTCATTAATTATAAAATACGACAATTGAGATTCTTCCCAAAGGCATACATCATTATAAAATAGATCATTTTTTTCCACTTCAGCAGATACTAATATAAATATGATAAAATATGAATGAAGACCAATGATAATGCAAGCTTAGAGTGGAATACATGAATACATATTACCATTTCACGAAGGTATTTTGTATAAACAAACTTTGGTGAAATCATCCAGTTCACCAGGCTTAATAGCCAATAAAGGCAAGAGAAACCTAACAAGCATCTGAATCTTCATGAAAGAACGTTTTTTTAAATGTGTTTTAAATTATTGTACAAGTAAAATACAGGCTTTAACTCTCAGCAATAAGGCCAGGTACTAAGAAACAAGAGAAAAATGTGTTTTTAAAATTCACCAGGAACAACAATTTTATACTTTAGTTTAAAAAGGGAACAAAATGTTGTTCAGTTTTATCCAGCAGATAGAAGCTATGAAAACCTGCCCAGAGCACATACTTCTTTATGTACCCATATGGACATACAATATTATGGAATGTAAAGAAGTATGTACTTTTGGCAGGAGTGAACAACCAGTAAAAGAAAAATAAACTATATTTCACGTGAAAGTCGTGGTTTTTTAAAAGTGAAGATAACATGTAAAAGGATCAAATGAATATTAGCATAAAAGAACTTACTAGAGGGAGGGGGGAAATAATGGGACAATTGTTTAAAGAATTGATATTAACAATATTGCTCAATCATTTATTTATTTGTTTTATTAATTCAAAACCTAAATAAAAACACTCACAACACAACATACTGTGCAACAGCACACAAATAAAATAATTACAGAATTATTTCTGGATCTTAATTTTGAAAATCACAATAAGTATTCCTTCTGAACCTTAAAAAAAAAGTCCCAATGTGATCTCTTGTCTAACCATCCACATTAATATTAAAATGATCAATCAAGAATATTGCTTATAATATGAACCTGGGAACATAAAATATGGTTCAAAACAAGGCTTTTTCATGTATGCTAAAACGAACGTATTGCGACAAAGACTTATCTCTGTTTTTGTACCTAACTTTTCCATTATAAATCCACCAAGCATTTATTGCACATTGGCACCTTTGTTGCATTTGACACAACTGTATGTGTCTAAAATTGCCTCATTTCCACTGAAGATTCAGTGCAGGAGTTTATTAATATGTTTATA